GGCCTTGCACGCCTCCTCCGGGAACGCCGGATCGACTTCGCAGCTGTTGATGAGGAGCGACGCTGTCGAGACGGCCGCATATTTCTCGAGATCTGCGGGGAAGGCGATGCGGCCTGGGTGCGTGATGGCGGAGACGTGGATGCTGTTGGTGAAGGCGAGGTCGAAGGTCGGGCGAGCTGCAGGTTTAAATTTGTGGTGAGTTTGACTCGAGTTTTATGTAAACGACGAAGACTGACCGCCAAAACAATACCCAGTCGCCGCAATGCGCGTAATTCCGCGCTCCTTGAGGACAGCGACGACCTTCTCGACAATCGGGAGCACGAGCTCTGGTGCGTGCGCTGCGAACCAGCGCTCGCGGTCGAATGCGGGGTCCTGCAACATGTCAAGTTCGACTCTCTAACATGCCCATGGGCCATACGATTGCTTGAACGCACCAGACGATGAGTAACCGCGTCCATCGCATCCGCAGGGATCGCGTCGCCTTCGAACATATCCGGCATGACCGTCTGCATCGATATCAGACTGCAAATCAATCTCTCCTTCAAGTTGCACGCACGTAAAACCCGTTCCTAGCAAAATCATCCACCAACAACTAAGCATTTGCATTAATATCTTAGTTCACTCCAGGTACTTAGAAGAAATACGCACCTTGTTATTCAACAGGCTAAGGCCGAACACGTCCGTGAGGAACAGAACCGCCTTGTCCGATGCATAGTCACCAGCGGGCGTGGCGATGTAACAGTCCACCCCAGCGAGCTGCTCGATCTTGCCTGCACGATCTCTGAGTCGATCTTCTCGGCGTCGCACCGAAAGAAAAGAGCCACAGACCTTCTGGCGTCCCCTCATGGCGTACTCCTGCGACACCATGAACATCAACAATTCTAGTTCATTAACACGAACGAACTCACCTTTGAAACAATCTTCGCAATGGCTCATGATGGGAAAGAAGTTGCCTCAACAGCTTCCTTCGCCCTCCCTTTTATACGCACCACACGACCGATTCCCATTACGTTCAAAAGCGGCCAAGTTCCGTGCGGAGAAAACCGCCTTGAGTTCGGACCGACAGCTGACGAGACGAGTTTCACGTAAGGCAGAGTCCCGCAAGAAGAGGTACGCTCAATAGTTATGTTCTTTATTGTACAGCTGTAAATGGATTTACTTACTAGAATTGTAGTACCCCAAAACCAACCAACTAAATACTGGTTAATTTATCTTGATCCCCACAACCACAAAAAAACCCACAGGCTACAGCTTCGCCTTGATCTCCCCTCGCTCCGCCTCTCCCTTGGCCACCTCACGCAACTCCTTTCTCAAAATCTTGCCCGCAGCACTCTTCGGAATCGCCTCAATCACCGCAACGCCACCACGCAAAAACTTGTGCCTCGCGACCTTGCCCTCCATCCACTTTTGCACCTTCTTCGCAAATGCGGCCTTTGCAGCTGGGGACGCGACTTTGGTGGGGGTAGCGTGTACGACGTAGGCTCTGGGCAGCTCGGTCGCCTGCTGGACGCTGTTCACGCCAATCACAGCCGCGTCTGCAATGTCCGGGTGCGTCAGCAGTATGGCCTCGAGTTCGGCTGGGGGGACTTGGAATCCCTGCAAGGTGTTAAACAAAGGTCATGAGCAAACACTGCACACGCACCTTGTACTTGATCAACTCCTTCTTACGATCCACGATGAAATAGTAGCCGTCCTTATCCCGCACCGCGATATCCCCAGTCTTGAACCACTTGTCGGGCGTAATGGAGTTGGTCGTCGCCGAGGGGTTGTTGAGGTAGCCTTTCATGACCGTCTTTCCGCGAACCCACAGCTCGCCGCGTTTGCCCAGCTCCGCATCCACCACCACATCGCCCTCGTCGTCGGCCACTAGCCGCGCCTCGAGGGTGGACAGTAGCGTGCCAATACTCCCGACGCGGCGCGGGTCGTTACAGTCCTCGAACGCAAGCGTATGTGTAGACGGCGAGGTCTCCGTGAGCCCATACCCCTGCGTGATCATGCACTTGGAGCCCTTCTTCCGCTTGGCCAGCAGCCGCTTCTGCACCATCCGCAACAACTCAGCCCCAAGCGGCGCGGCACCTGAAAGCAGGTACTCCAGAGTCGAAAGGTCGAAGTCGTCGACGGCGGGGTGTCGCGCAAGGACAACCAGAACGGGTGGGACGATGAACGCGAAGCCAACGCTGTAGCGCTCGATATTGCGGCAAAACTCGACGGGCTCGAAGCGTGTTTGGATGACGGTGGGCACCCCGACGGAGAGGGACCCGTTGAGGATGTTGGCTGCCCCGTAGATGTGGTAAAACGGTAGAATGGCGAGGAGGGTGTGGTTGGGAGGCATCGGTGGGAACGCCTCGCGGGTAATGTCGATGAGGGTCGTAATGTTTTGGTGTGTCGTCTCGACGCCCTGTGCGGAATGAATATCCTATCCTGGCATGGAGGTCGACGCACCTTGGGCTTTCCCGTCGTTCCAGAGCTGTAGCACAACAAAACAGTCTCCTTGTCCGCAATTCCATCGAACGACTCTTCCTTGTCCAGCTTTCCGAGATCCAGCAAGTCGCCAAAGCTCAGACGGTCGGGTTTAGGAGCAGCGGGTCCGCCAGCCCACGAAAGGTCGTTGGAGACGACAACAATACGCTTGTCCGCCTCGGCAGGCGACATTCCAATCTCTTTGGTCAACGCCTCTAGCACGACCGGAAGCAGCTCCTGGGCGACGAGGACGAGCTTGGCTCTGCTGTCGCTGTATTGGAACGCGAGTTCGTGGGGGGTGTAGGCACTGTTGGCGAGGGTGCAACGTAGCCCCGCAGCGATACCTGGCCAGCATCAGTACAAGCTGGCAAACGAAGGTCCACGCACTTCCATGAAGCAACACCGGCCACGCGATCGAATTGGGCGAGAAGATCAGGACCGTGTCCCCACGCTTCACGAACGCGCTCGTCGTCGGGTGGACGCGCAGCCCATGCCCAAACGACAAACAAAGATGCTTCAGCTGGGCCCGGGTAACAACAGTGCCGGTTTGGGCGTCGATGAAGGCAGTCGCCTTTGCAGGGTACTTTCCGACGTCGTCAGAGCCAGGACGACTGCCGAGCAGGTGGGTGAATATGCTGTGGTTGACGATGGGAACGGGGTCGGCTGGCGAGGTGTAGATGCGGGGGCGGGGCATGGCGGGAGAAGGAGAAAGACTGGGACAGGGACGGCTAAGCCAAAGCCGGTCAATTGCAAGCGTGATCAGGCCACCGGCTAATTTCTTCCGCCGAACTTGCCTCATGTTTTGTCTCTCGAGATTGACTGATAAAACCCACTGAGTTCACGCAAAGAACACCCGCCTTTGGCTTGCGTTGTGCCTCAAAGATTCCACGCCGCATGTCCGGACGCGACATTTGGCAAAGTAAAACAAGTTCAGTGTCCGTACCAATTGATTTACGGGAGAAGATTTGGCCACGGCCGTGATAGGCGGAGAGTCTAGAGCCCCTATCCGATTGAACTGCGCCTGCATTCCTCCTCCGTTCGCCGCTATTCACGAAATCGACCATTCCATTTTGAACAGCACGCACTTGAACGTCACGGTCGGAGCATCCTGATTTATCAGATACGTCGACTTTCTGCACTGCGATCTAAGTTAAGAATCAACGCAAACACGGCATTGCGCGCCTTACGCAAATCCATCGCCACCGAGGTCGTTTTTATAAATTCGCGCGCGTGTTTTTTTGAGGCGAGCGGCCCGTCTTCGATGGAGATGTCGCCCGCCTTTTCCCATCTTCTGCCTTCTTGGCGCCGGCAGAACCGAGAGTGAAGTCGCGAACTCACCGTGATCACGACTGTGAGCTCTTTGTTTTGCGTTTTATTACCGCGTGGGTTCGCGATGGGACGACCGTGAGGAGACGCAAATACAAGACAAAGTGGTTGTTTGAGTTCAGTGCAGTACGAGTCGACAGTACGAAACTTTTTCCAGGAGCGGAGTGCTAACTTGAAGACCGTCCAGAAACAGGGCGACGATGAGCCCAGGAGCGATATATTTGGCGAGTCGTTGTTTCGGGAATCTGCGACGGTTCCGGTCATCGAGGATATAGTTGGCTGTCTCAACGGACCCGAGATGCCAGTGGATGGAGGAAGCTGTGAATAACATCGAGATCAGCATTGGATGAGTCGTCCCAACGACTCGGAATGCATGCTTCGGGACACCGTGCACGCCCGAAGCAGCGGCTATGTATGTGTTGTGTTGTGAGCCTCACTGGCAATCCAGAGTGTCTTAAGATCTTATGGTACAGCGGAAGGACTGCACTATGATCCCGATTCGAGGGGCCGAGTGGGTGTCTTCAACGACCGAAGAAATGGAGAGTTGGCTGGAGCGCTGGCTGGTATGCTGGGAAAATGAGCGCTAGCATTGAGATCGACATATTCAAGTTACACCAGCGGAGACACGGGTCGGGGACATGAGAGAACTTCCACTCCAGTGGCCCAGTGGTTTTAGGAAGCGGATGAAGATGAAGATCTAGAACAGAGACGGCGATTCGGGTGGGGAGGCTCTGTAGACGAGAAGACTGAACGCATTAGAATCAGCCGTTGCTTTGCCGTCGACCCATTTCCTCCGCCGAGTGGAGGCCCGAGTTGGTGTGTGATAGTTCTGTGTCGGCAAGAGGGGATGTTAGCGGTGTTTTGGGCCGATGAGACAACTTGAAGCTGCTATTGACTCAGAGCAACTGCAAGGCGGTGAGCTCACCAATGGCTGCTTCGGACGACAGTAAACGGAGGAAAGGAGGGATCTTGCCTGCCGGAGTGCCTACCAGGCGCACGTTCAACATGTCGCGAAATGGACGCGTGGTTCAACTTGAAAAAGATTGCGATGGAACAAATTGATCGTCACATCACATTGTGCCTCGTTTCCATGGAAATCTTTCCACGGAATATTCCAGGCCACCTCTCGACCGATGCCGGGCACGCGGCGCTGGGAATTTGGTGGGACTTTGTGGTGATTTCTTCGCTGCAGATCGCTTTCGCCGAATTCTAACGGCCGCCTGGCGAAATGGCATCGCGTCTGACTACGATTTAAGCCGTTATGGCTAGATCTAACCATCAGGAGATTGCAGGTTCGACCCCTGCGGTGGTCATTGTTTTACCGTTCTGTGGCTATTCTACGCCTTTTCGGAACGTTCTGGCAATTTTTTTCGAGTGCAGAAATGCACTAAGTCCATTTTTGGCCGTAAAATTGCGTTTTGATGGATGTATTCACTTTGTCATCTCGAATTTCCTCATTGGGAAGTTCACTGGAGGTCCTTCCCTCCCCGGAAAGTCGTTGAAAAGGTTTGGGAAGAGCTCAGGCGATTTGTGGAAGCGTTGGAAGTTGTATGATGGTAAGGTCAAACTCATGGGTTTTGCTGACCAAACATCCGGGTAAGGTGAGGATTTTTGCCCTCGGACGTCAAGATGGTGGCCTTTCCTCACCAGGACGGCCGTTTTTTGGCCTTACTGCTAAGTGTAAACCGAATAAAACACGGTATGCATCACATGTGATCGTGACACGCCACTTGCCTCTCACCCTCATCATCGGTCCAACTGGAGGCTTGAAATCTCATCCAAGTCCAGTTACGATAAGCCCTGAGCCTCCTGGTGCGCAGAATTCTCCGTTTCAATGTTTGCACTTACAGCCTGAGCCGTGTAGCTAAATGTCTGGAACCGCTTCGACGTCCGAACTTCGCGCTGCCGACCGCACCCGGCTCTCCGTGCTCGATGCTCAGATCGAGCAGCTACAAAATGCTCTAAACTTGTTGTGCTCTGAGCGTATGCTCATCCAGGATCGCCTCGACTTGTACACGTACCCCGTCCTCACACTTCCCAACGAAGTTGTCTCGGAGATCTTCATACAATACATCCCCGTCTATCCTGTTTCCCCGCCCCTCCTGGGAGACGGTTCCCCCACAAAACTCGCCCAGATCTGCAGACATTGGCGGGAAATCGCACATGCTATCCCCATGTTATGGCGCGCAATCGAGCTATTTTCGTCATACTCACTCTTCAACGCATCTCCATTACAACTCGACACGGCGAAAACCTGGCTGGAGAGATCGCGCGCGCTACCTCTCTCGATTTTTATGGGCAGTGCGGTGCCCCAGGACCTTCGCGACGGAGCCCTCGACCACCTTGTGGCTCATCGCGCACGCTGGGAATATCTCACGATCATTTTCCCCGACGATGATGACTCGCGTTCCCGCAGGTGCATTGAAGGAGCGATGCCCGTATTGCTCGCGCTGGATCTCCAATACTCCGAGAGATCCATGCTGGACACTACCGTTGGCTTAGTCGACGTTCCGCGCTTACACACTGCCTTTCTCGACTGTTATGAATTTCTGAATATCGAGGGACTGCTACCCTGGGCCCAATTGACGAAGCTGTTCCTTGACTTCGTCAATACGCGCACAGCAGCTACGGTACTGCGCGAAACCGCGAATCTGGTGCACTGTCGCTTGAACTTCTCGAATGAAACGAGTTGGGCTGGCAATACTATTCTTCTTCCCCGATTGGAGACCCTCATTGTCGACTCAAACTTCACTCCTTCAGAGGTCACTCGTAGCTTGCTTCTTATGCTTCGCACCCCAGTTCTCAAACGACTTCACATCCAAGATGACTTCATGTTGGTAGTAAACGAGCACTGGTCTCTTGCCTCCCTTATTAGGGCATTCGGGTGCAAGCTCGAGCGATTATGTATACCCGACGCCGAAAAATCCCTGGAGGAATATAGGGCAGCATTGCCTCAAGTCGCGCAGATCGAATTGGTCGACACCATCTCAGATGAAGTTTGGGGCTATTGGGATTTGTCAAAATTGTAAGCCAAGGTTTCTTTTGAGCGCCACCGATTTGAAGATAAACTCTTGCTCAGACATTCGTCGAGAGCTTGAATCGGACCGTTTTATGTGTTGCCGACAGCTTTGTTCATGTAATTGCAACTTGATCCAAGGGCTTTCTTGGCTTTGACAATAATGCAATTCACTCTTGAGCTTGACGGTGAGCCCTTGAGATTTTGGCAGTGAGTTGATGCACCGGGCTTTTCAGTGCGACCGGAGATGAGTCGGTGGTCTTCCGGTCATGGAAGCTTATATATTGATAAGACAGTGCCAGAACGACGTTCTATGTAATGCGTTTGGGCTAATTAAGTCGTCCGACCGTGAATGAATAAAGACCGAGGTCGTTGCCGCGCTTCGAGAGGATGTGACGCACCGTGACCCGCATGCCTCTTGCCACAACGACGCCGTTTGACTGCCAATGCCCGAACTTCCCCAGGAGATACTCGAAGCCATCCTCGACCACGTTCACGACCGCGACACCCTCAGATCCTGTGCCCTCGTCGCGAGTTGTTTTCTCACTCGCTCCCAGCAGCGACTCTTCCGGTCGATGGACTCGATGCGCATTTCTCGCGACAGGCCACATCGTCCGCCGAAGCAGCAACGCCAAACAATCTCCTCCATCTTCATCGTGGCCCCTCACCTCGCTCTATACGTCCGTGACCTCACTGTCGAGCTCTCCGTCCACGAAGACGAGTCCGCTGCTCTCGACGTCATCCTCTCCGCAGTACAAAATCTACACGGATTCGCCGTGAACGGGCAGTACACCGATTGGAGCAACATCGCAGGTGGAACAGCGAGGAGGATCGTCGAGTGTTTGAAGCTGCCCTCGCTCCAGCAAGTTCGGTGGCAGCTGCTCATCTGCGTACCGCTGTCGGTCATGGAGACGCTTCTCGCTGTCCCTATCGTTTCGCTCGATATTGTGCATATGCTTCGCCAGGACGCTATTGAGCCGAACGAGAGGACCGTCGTCCCGAAGCTCCGGGATCTGAGTTTCATGCGCGATGGCGGCACCATCTCTCGTTTCCTTCTCAACCCGCGGAATCGTGAATATTTGCGTGCGTTGAAGCGTATGGAGATTCGACTGGAGGCATATGACGAGCAATGTGTTGTTCTTGAAGCATGCGCTACAACTCTCGAGACGTCGTCTGGACTAGTGAGATTTCAATATTTCTCATCTCATCCTATGATATTTCGCACAGCTGCATCTCCCTTGATCCGCATCGCTTCTCTACCGTCTGTCCGCTCTATCGAGCTCACCATCTTCTTCGTCGGAAACCCCCAGCTGCCCAATACACTCCTCACCATCGCGGAGAGCCTCGAATCGTTCCTCAACCTCACCACCCTCTCATTCACGCGCACATCCGCGCTGACGAATTCACCAACAGCGCCGACCTCAAAGTCGTCCCCGCTTTCCACCTACTCGTTCAGACCAGATCGTCGGCCCCTAGGTGAAGTCTTCCGCTACACAGTCGTATGCTCGATAGACGTGAAGGAGATGCTCCTCAGGCACAAGGTTCACTAGGAATGTTCGCTGCTCCAGCACGAATATCGTGCGGAGGCGACGAAGACGTATTCCCATCTCAAGGTTGACCCGCTCCCTTCACCATATATACGGGCTCCAGGGATCTTCTAGTGCGTTTATCATGCTATGGAGGCGATCTGAAGCCCTGACGAGATACAGAAAGCATTGCTACTCAATACGCTCACCGAAATCGAGCTCTCCGACGAAGACCTTGTTACCATTACACTGTTTGACGCCAACCAGTGGCAACCACTATCCTCGCGCCGTTATGTGCGTGCACCTCCTTCTCCGCTGGCCATAGCCAACCCTCTGCAGGTTTCTCATTGAAGGGAAATATCGCTCGTTACTACGTACCGGCGACTTCCGCGCAGAGCCCTGGTTTCTCGTCTCCCTCACACAATCCGCCCTCCAACCATACCTTGCGTCAAACGACGACATGCCCGGCTAGAAACCGCTCGAAGCTATCCACACCGACACCGAATGTGTTTCCAATACCGCGCCCGTACCGACCAAGGTACGTACGTCTCCGTCTTCTCTGGAACTGCCTTTCTGAGTCGCTTCCCAAGCCGCAGCTGGTCTCATCGAGCTTGTGAAACTCTTGGGCGTGGTGCTACAAGGACGTGCTCAAGGCCATCCCCAACGCGTTCCGCTCTCGCATCCACCTCGACCGATCCAAGCATAGCATCTACACCGACTCCGGCCTGCGGCGTATTGGCACAAGAACCCTGGACCCGCCGAATTGCCCTTCCATGCGTCTGAGCGATTCGACCGGTGTGCATTTGTCATCCAGGCCAAAGCCAAAGACGGCAGTCGTTCCTTCAACGACGAGGCAGAGGAACGGGCGCAGCAGTGGAAAGACCATCGTCTATGTCAACCCAGTCGCGATGGCCAACGAGGCGGACGGGTACCTCCAGCTCTTTCGACCGCCTTCTTCCACCGAACTCGAAGCGCGCCATATCGTCCCGAATACGCTCGTCTCTGGTCTATGCGGGCTGGATTGGGCGATGATTCTGCGCCTGTTTGCGGCGTTCCTGGTGGAGTATCCGACCAAGGCGGAGTTGAAGCTTGGTACCCGGGAGGCCGCGATGGCAGCGCAGGTCGGTTCAGAGTTCTCTCGAGGAGTGGAGCAGACAAGTCGAGATTAGTGCGGAAGGCAAGATTAGTGCGGAAGTCGGAGGCCAATACTTACGCCGCTCTCGAAGATGGACCCCGGCTCCGGCTTACCAAACCTCGATAGACCTGTGGCATGAAAATGAAATAAAGACATGCCCTGGTTGCTGCGTTTCAGCTCAACGCCGTCTTGCGATGGTGTGAGTTGGGTGTGAGTCCGAGTCACGGCTATCAAGTGTGAGTACAGCACGTCAAATTGTATCACTTGTTTCCTACCTCCATGGCCGCTTTTCCTCAAGAGCTCTTCGAAGCCATTATCGACTCGGTGGAGGACGAAAAGACACTCTGCTCCTGCGCCCTTGTTGCCCACAACTTCCTCGTCCAGTCTCAGCGCAACCTCTTCCACACGTTGGTGATCTACAACCAGCATCTGTTGAGGCACTCTACCCAACCTCGAGGCGACGTCAAGCGGCGCACCCTGGCGGCCGCCGGTGCGAAATTCGAAACTTCCAGTCATTTAGGGCTGTACGTTCGCGATCTCAGTGTCCAGCTTTCTCGCCAGCCGCGTGAAGCGAATGCACTGGAGACCATTTTCGGAGCAGTTTCCAATGTCGGGCGACTAGCGATATCGGGCGGC